ACGCGTCGTTTTCGTAAGAGCCTTTTCCTCACTCCACACCATGGGGGAGACGGGCGTTAGGAACGATTTTGAGTAATCGATTCGCCGCACGCGGCTGTCGCGGACCACTCTTTCGCCGTTACTACAGCTCTAGCGTTCTTCATACAGCTCAATCGATATGCGATCATTATTTTATGCATAATTCTACTATTAGTACTTTTGTTCTTGTATTTCTTACCTACTGGTGCATCCTGCTACACTCCTTCGCGCGCGACCCCCCTCCCACCGCGACGCGACCATTTCGTTCCTAATGCACCACACCCCACACCATAGCCGTGCAAAAAATCACGGAGCGCACCCTCTTGGGACAAGGCTTTAGTGCTTTATCGACAATTCTTTTCCCAGACATGAGATAGTTTCTTTCCCTTCTCACTTATTTCATTTTCAATTTTTTTAGCTTGCTTTGCAGAAATAAATGTGCAAAACAGCACTATCGAAAACCGAAGTAGATAGAGGAGCAATTTTTTGGTTGAACAAAATGCTCTCTTTATAAAATAGCTCTGACAGGTCACCTAAGTCCTCCTCGTGACCTAGTTTTTACGCGACGACCTTGATGGCGTCTTGTGGTACATGCCACGGTTAACTCGGAGGACTAATTCAGTTGTGGGAATTGGATGTGTTACTTTCCAATTTCAATAATACTCGAAGAAAAGGTACATAGTCATGAAATGATCTTCCAAGGGGGAGACCAAGTCGGAGCAAAAAAATAGCTCAGTTTGCGCGCTTTCTTCACAACGGGCTTAGGTCTTTACAACGTTTATAGAGCCAATATCTACCAGTGTTTAATAACACAACTTCCCTAGAGCGGGCACGTCCTAAAACGAGATTTCTTGTAGGGGTGGTAACTCGTTTTCGTTCAACGCTCTTAATTTTCGCGCATTTTTTTGGCGGTCAAACCGAGCTATATCATGCTCCAGCGCAAATCCCTTGTATAGCAACTCATAGCAACTTGAAAGATCTCCACTGCTATTATTTATCAAGCATTTTTTTTGGAATCTAGATGAGCATGTGATTCGAAGGCACTTGCAGAATGTCTGAATTCTCTCGACTATGTCACGCTGCAGGAATACCCGAACCGATGTTTCTCTTCATAGGAGGGGGCAATATGGCCTCCGCACTGATACATGGATGCATAGAATCCGGTAAGCATTTTTGTGCTTCTTCATATCATCATCTTGGGCAGGCATTCGTCTCGACGGGTTTTTGAGTAACTCGACTTTTTTGGTTAAAAGATTTATACGCTGGTCGACGGAACGGCTATACTTCAACGGATGTCGCTCTGATACAATGTCGCTATGTAGAGACAGAGCGGGTGTGTCCCTCTGACGATCTGATATATGCGATCTGACTGTCTCGTAACTAAACAGTGATTCTGTAGCGTGCTCCATCAGCAGATAGAAGGTGGTCCCGTGAGCGTGTGAGCTCTAAGTAACCTTGCAGATTGCGGAGCTTTATGGTAATTTTTTGATCTGGAATCCGCTATGTCGTTATGGATTTCACTATATATGGAGCAATCTTCACTGAAGCCGATTCACGATCTCAAATTTCGAACTGCTTGATTTTATTAAAGACAGAAAATAGCTAGAACAATCAATAGCATAGGGTCTAATCTGGCATAAATATCACTTCTTCGACCACGTTTTCTATTTTTAATGGGCGAAACCAATGCTAGATGGGTTTTCAAGCTAAATAAGTGGCAAGGAGCCACGGCTATGCGTTCTCGGTTTGTAGAAACTAAATTATCTTCATAATAATGTTCTGTTTTGAGAGGTCGTGGTGTTCATTACGTTTCCCTCTACTCGGAACCTGTCCAAATATGGTATCAGAGAGAGTTCTGATTATTGTTTATTGCAAAACCGTATTTCTGGTTGCGCACAACAAAAGGAGACTTCAACGTTGGTGGCTGCAGAGACACTGTGAAACGAGGTAGAAATAATTTTGGAACAAAGCGGCGGTTGAATTCTGAGTGGGATCTCATCGTATTTCTGGAAACTCACAGCGGTCCTAGTCGTTTCAACGTTATGGATTGCAACAAATCTCTCTAGTTTTCTCCATGTTGAAAAAGAGTCATCAAATGAATCAAACTTCAGCCGATTGCATATTTCTCTTCGTAATCATTTGTTATAATGCTATTGATGAGTGTTTTGAGTTTTTTTTCTTCTTTGCGTTAACATTTGTATGCTTGTTTTGCAGTTATTGATCCGACGATTTTAGAAAGTTGTTCCGCTTTTCAGGTTTCGCCACTGCAAAAGAGATTGCAATCAGCTGCCAATCTGAAGCTACTCAACATAGATGGAAGGTGATCATACTGACCCCTATCAGTGATTTTTCGGGACTACAATTTGCATATGCTACTGTGTTATAGTGCGAGGGTTTCGATAACGTCTTCACATCCACATCAACAATGGTCAAACTTTTCCCGAATGGTAGGCTTTCGCATTCATTACTCCAATTTATATCTGTCTGTAATGTAATCTGAACTATATACTCTTGGACCATGCCAGAACTTCTCACTCAGGCATTATCGTGCTAGCTGTCAAACCACAGTCAAGACATGCAGTTTATGATATGATGTTGTCAAATAACGCTTCGTTGGAGAATTGTCCATTGATAATCTCCATTCTAGCTGGAATCGACATCCCGATCCTAAAGACCGAGGCAAATTGTTGTTATGCTTCAGTGTTTTTCTGTGATTCTCTGTTCTCCACTGAAGAAAACGTCTTCCAGTTAAGCCGTATTCATTATCGTGGACCAGTCATTCGAATCATGCCAAACACAGCCGCTTCGATTGGCAACAGTGCTTCCATTTTGTGTGCTGAACCTGGGACCCCCGAAGAAAAGGTATTCATCAAGGTCATTTCCTCTCGGTTTAATCTATAAATGCACAATTCAGGTTACCATAGTCAAGTCGTTTGCCTCCAAGGTCGGTTTATGCTTAGATGTTGAACCGAAAACATTCAACGCTTATGGTGTGGTGTCCGGGTCAGCTCCAGCGTGGGTATGTTCCAAAATATTTGAAATGATGCCGAATTTGGAGTGCTGGAAAGACTTTCGGAAAACGCCAGCTTTGTACAGATAAGGAATCGTGTGAAAAACACACAAGGATGGCGATTTGCGAACCTGAATTAACGAAAGTGAGAGTGCCTCTGAAGAATGAGATAGGACGAAACGTGGCACAAATCTTCCAAGCCGCATGCTCCTTTTAAGGCAGAGAGGGGATTCGTCAGGGCGATACCCCCCCCCCCCCCCAACTTTTAGCGTCACTCTGAGAAAATCGTGCTTCGTTTGGAATGGGGGAGACACGATAGTGAAGGTCGACGGCCGCATGTTCTTTGAACTCAAAACGGCACGTGCAAAACCCGTCAGTAGTCCACCACCAGTGCCACATCGACGTGCTGTGCTTAGTGCTTGTTTTGAATTCCAGGTGCCTCCAAGAAAACCTTTAGGACAAGATCTGTCACACCGAAAAGCCTTCCTGTTGTAGTTCTTCTGGGGAATATCTCCTTCCTCCACTTATTTACCTTCTTATGCTAAAACCACCTTACCTAAATCTCTTCAATAACTGTTGTATGCTATTATTCTGGGTGTAGATAAAACTGTGCACGTGTAGTGAATCTCTCGTGGAATAGTTCGCAGCGTTATGTTGAAAGGAGCCCGAACCGTCGGAATCCTGTAAATACCACTTCAGTTTAGGCTTATGTATTCATTGAAGCATTGGCTGATGGAGCTGTATTTACTGGATGTTCCCGGGATACTGCAATGAAACTTGCTGCACAGAGTCTGCTGGTGAGTTCTAATAGGTTATGCATTTCTGTAAAAAATGTTCGTCTTCACTCAGCACAATTTAAGAATAATTGCATGAGGGTTTTAGGGAATTCTTACCGATTTTCAGGGTGCAGCTCAAATGGTTCTTGAAAGTGGGGTACATCCCTCCATTCTGAAGGATAATGTGTGTTCACCGGGTGGAACTACTATAGCAGGTCTACGGGAGTTGGAAAAATCTGGTTAGTTCTTCTGCATCAAATTAGAAGAAGGATTAGGGAAACCCTACGTTCCCTGTTACTTTCCTTCGCATTGAGGAATAAAGATGTCTCCTGAAAAACCTGATTTCACTTTAAGGTGACTTGGTTCTGCGGCGATTGTATACCGTGCCGAAATCGGACATAATTATTTGTTCGATTCGTGTTCACGAAATCAACTATGAAATTACAAGAATATCTGAACTTTGTAGAGGCTTTGCCGAGCTGCTAGTTCTACAATGGTAAACCCATTACGACCCGTGGCGCACTCTAAAAAGGCACACTCACCAAAGTACCATATCACTCTTGTGTGCTATTTTGAGTATGCACTTGAGATAACAGCTACTGATAGGTGCCGCAACTGTTTTACTCCAGATAAGTGTAGACTTCAGTGAAATTTGCCGCTAAAAACACGGTTTATCAAATATGTGAACGTCAGTGCTATTTGCCAAGCCATCCATTACACTAGAATGATCTTGCAGGTTTCCGATCCGCAGTTATTGAAGCTGTTAAAGCGGCAACTGAAAGAGCAAACACAATGGCATAGCAAGAAAGAAATCGGTATGATCGGTAGAAATCGGTTCATGAAGAAATCTGCATTAACAGCATGCCATGCCTCAATATGGAACAATCTTTTGGTAAATTATTCGTTCATTAGAGGTCTCTTTGACTAGNGTTGAAATTGATTTAAGTGTTTGTTTATAAGTACAATTATTCTGTCCAAATTCTTTATTTATATGAAGATGACTAAATATTCTATACGATTCTTTGACAAAGATAACAATATATAACAACTGCCCTGAGGGGAAAACAAGGACCCGAAAAGTGATCGTGAATAAGAATTTCTTTGCGTTATGATTAAAATAATGACAGCTAGATAGGCTCAAAAGTAACTGGTGCCATGTAGAAGAGCCACTATATGACTTATCTTGATATGCACACTTATACATTACTGTTGAGGTAGTGTATGAACAGGGAGGCTATTTTAGATTTACTGTCGATTGGATTGGCTTTGGACATATTGATAAACTGTCGTCTAAGCCGTGTGAGTTCGGCTAACGTGCGAGTTCTACTGACCATCACCTAAAAGTTTAAACCTCGAGATTTCTAATGGTCAAAGTAGAATGTAGATTACCTTGTTTGGGTTTGGATCGAAGCTAGTGATGACTACATGCTGACCAACAACAACGTTACGCTGTCCTTGTATGATTTCATTTGTAACCTCTTGGGTAACACGATCAAGTTCATGAAGAAAGTTGATTGGAGCTGTGGGGACCACTTGCGTGCTTTGGTTCTGGGTGAGTGCTTTACCCTAAAAAATCCTTCCTACACGTATTCACAACACTACAATAATTAAAAAGTATAAACATTGCTTTTCTTCATACTAACCTCACACATCCAACTGAATATGTCTGAAAAAGGAATATCCACAAATTTTGGAGATGGATGCTCCAAGTTGATCCCCATATCATCTGGTGCTTCTTCCGGGCTTCTAGAAATAACTAACCTATAAGTGACTGTGGGGCGTTTCTATATCATACAGCGCGCAACATCAGAAAGCAGCAGAGAACAGCAGCCCTTATATGTATGCCATTACTTCACTCGTTGGTGAATGGCGCTAAGTGTAACTGTATAAAAGAGAGCACACAGGACACGGGACATTAAAAGATATCCATGTTCGACCCTCAATGAATCTTGGCATGGCTTTGAATTGATTTCATGATTTTTTATCATGAAACCAGTTACCAAGACGATAAACAGGTTCTTGTCAATCTACGTTTCGGCGTTATCACTTTTTTCAGTTCTGGAAACCTAAAGATAATCGCTATCCATTCCTCATTCAACAATTCAACTTCAAAACGGTGGGCTTGTCATGCCTATTTGGAAGCATTAGGTCTAGGGAACCTGTTCTTGAATTCGAATCGTTGAGTGAAGGATAGATAGCGATAATCTCCAGTTTTCCAGAACTCTGAAGAAGGCCATGACGGCGAAACGTAAGTTGATAAGAACCTATCTATCATCTTGGTAACTGGTTCTATAAAAAGTCTTATAAAATTGATATCAAAAGACATTGTATGAAGTAGCACTGGTGTCATATGAGCTGCGCTGCAAACTACTCTAAAACCAACAATCAACAAAACAAGACCGTAAAAAAAAACGGGCTTCGAAGCGGAATAGCTGAAGGTATACTGTCGTGATATTTTGAGAAAACATTCACGAAACGAACTTGTTACTTCTTCCAACTTTGATTTCATATAGCGGAGAATCCCATCGATTACGAGGATCAGGTTTTTCGTATCGTGCGATAAGCTCGGTAAGTGTACTTTCTTCATATCTCAAATACACGGTTTCATTGAGCAAAGCTAAGTGTTCGATAAAGTAAATGTGGTGTCACCTTGCGACGTCATTCTTTTGCTCGTTTAACCATTTGCATGTAGAAATTTCTGCATGACAATGGAGTACAGCAAACGTGGTTTTGCATAGCTTAGCAGTTAAGAATAATTCATATCTGTACCCTAAACTACACAAGAACATGGGAATACAATAGTCTCGGTCTGCTGAATCAATTATACACGGAGCGCAAATGGAAGAATGAAGTAAGAAAAGGTCACCTTTAATGTAGTTCAAACCATCACATACTACCACAGTATCTTGAGTTAAGCTCTTTTGCACGCATGATCGTAAGTAGGAACGCTGGTCTTTCTCCTGAAATGTTTTCGAGGAAGTACTAGTGTACACGAGAGTTCGCTTTTGAAATAGCAAAAGTCCTCAAAAATTTTACAAGTCTTAGGTGTGTATCTATGTGGTATACAGACCCTCTTTTTCCAGAATCATGAAAGATGTGTTTCGAGCTACCAATTAAGGATTGTGGCCCCTGATAAAAGCAGACTGCCTCCAATTAAACGATATTTCCGTAGTATCCCCCTGGCTCGCTTACAGGGTGGTGCAGTAGGAACGAAATTGTCGCGCCGCGGCGAGAGACGCCGCGCGCGAACGAATGTAGCAGAATGCAGCAGCAATTAAGAAATACAAGAACAAAAGAAATAGCAATGAATCATGTCTAAAGTAACAATCGCATGGCGATTGTGTTGTATGAGGAAGACTAGAACTCTTATAATGAGGCAAGTTGCCCGCGACAGCCGCGTGCGGCGCATCGATTACACAAAACAGCTCCTACTGCCCGTCTCCCCATGCGACAGCACCCAATAGGCGACAGCGTCATCGCATGAAGTATACGCAATAGCTATGCCACCTACAGATGAAATCATTTGTCGGGGCAACCCAACCTTATTGCGTTGCCTTCTGCTCCGTACTGAAAACATTTTCTCTCCCTTTTGAGCAATTTCCTCGTTCCTGTCATAGCTTTGAACGTGGCGATTATTTCACCATCAACGGAGGGGCTGCAGTATTCAAATAAAAAGGACGAGGTGTTATTTAATGATTTGTCTTCGAAATGTAATCCGAGGCGCAGCCTCTCACTATAATTTTAGCAAAGAGCACAGCAAAACAGTTCTTTATAGACAAATATGAGAGTCGGGGTGCCACCGGCGTATAAGGCCGTTTCTATCCTTGAACTGCCGATGAGTTGCAAAGCTAGTTCCAGTTCAGAGACTAGCCTGCTGCTTGCAACAAACCTGAGCTAACCAAAAATATTCGAGCAGGAAATAAGATGTTCAGTTACAGAGGAACATCGAGAGAAAATGCTCAACTTGTTCAACCTTCAACAGGACCTCGACCACTTTAAGAGTCTCAATCTTGTCAGTGAAGTATTAGGGGAGATTTGTGTGGAAGGCTAACTGAACGGTGAATCCGAAGAAACCACGCTAAGGCTCGTCGAGTCATCTCTTGCTTGACGTTGTTCTCGGTTTCATATTGTTACCTCGGAACCTCGTATCTCACGGTTAGGCGTACTTTTCTCTTTCGCATGAATGTGACTTCCTTGGCTTTTCTGTTTTCCGTCTTGTAACTTTGAGTGTAACCGACTAAAGATGCGCATACACTCAGGATCGGGACCAAACGTTCCCTTTGGGGAATCTGCGACCAGTCAAAGAGCGGCTATTTAATTTAAGTGGCCGTTTAAGCAAGTGTTCATATGGATTAGTTTGGAAAACTTGTAGAATTCTATAGATTTATCGTAATAGCTAGTATAGATACATACACACTCGCCTCACCTATACCCTTTCCCTTCAATCCATTTGTCGACACTCTTTTAGACGTTGGGTAATGGAGGGAGTGGCACTGCGACGGAAATGTGGGAATGGCAATGAAACCGCTTACAGTGCTGTTTGTTTCTTTTGTTTCCCTCCCTTCTTTTCTCAAATGTCAAAGTTTAAGAAAGAGCGTACCTTAGTGGAATTACCGTAATCGTGTCGACGAAAATCAAGATAGTCATCATCTCGAACGATTACCATTTCTTTGCCTTTATTCAAGAAGTATTCCTGTATTCTATTAACGAGTGTAGATTTACCAGAGGCAGGATGTCCCGTAACCAAAAGAAGGGGCATGCTAACCTGCAAAATTCTCGTATAATGTACTAGAACGCATTCCAGAGCATGAGCAGAAGTATCAGAGTCTAAAGAGAAAGCCACCACGGTCAGCAACAAAAGTTAATGAACTGATCACGATGCCTACGAAGAAAGGCTGCTTTCATAGTCCACGATTTGGCCCGCGAGCGAGCGATCGAGCGATTGGTGCGGCGCTTGGCCCTTGTTTACAACTGAATCTTGATCGATACCGCGGGCAAGCGCCGCTCCAATCGCTCGATCGCTCGCGGGCCAAATCGTGGACTATGAAAGCAGTCAAAGCGTACCGGTCATGGGTTTATCATTGCCACAACTACTGAACAACGACCCAGGAAGTTGTTGTGTAGGACAAAATAACATTTGCAGTATTCTTGCTAAACTCGGTGAAGGGAACTCGCATGTGTGGAGAGCTTTTTGAAGTTCAACCTCCAAGCTGCATTCGAAACATGCAATCTGTTAGAGGCAGAGTCCAGGGAAGGTGTCACATTCGATATGCCACTTAGATTAATGCATGTTATGGGCGCCATGTATACAAATCAGTGCTTTTATCCTACCAGACGGGTCTGGCACGAAGTAACCTACCCGGAGGGTGGAAGGCTTGGACGACCTCGGGCAATGACTCCGGTGATAGTGGAGTAAAATTCTATGAGTAAAATGTAGGTGTGGTGTACCGCTATGAAAGCACAGAATAATAGTTAACATGTACTTATCCACTACCGAGGTTTTGCCCGGATGCTGTTCGAGGAAAAAATGAGGACCACGCTTTTGGCGGTCTCGCTCGACCCAACCCCTCGCATCATTATGGACGTTCCTAGTTTAGAAAGAAGTCTCAGAGTTTTATAGCCACGAGGGATGGGATCGGCAACCGTTTTATATCATGAGGGGGGGGGGGGGGGGGGGAGGGGGGAGGGAAACATTACTTCTACCGAACGACACTAGAAACTATGCCGTCCTACCAGCGCTCGGGTATCAATGTTCTGTTAAATTACCTCGATATTCTATTCCCACTCTGTTGGATATGCTGGAAAGAGGTATTTTGAAAGGAAGAGGTTGTTCGCAGAAAATAAAACTTTAAAATTGTAAAGGAGAGTGCACAATGGCGCATTTCTGTGGACTGGAGCACGTTGTAATTTCATTTTTCTGGCTTACTCATACTGATATTGACCTGACCTGCTGACGGGTTTCGAGAGTCCTCCCGATGGCGGAGCCTGTCTCCTTAAAGGACGCCTTGGGTAATGTAGAGGTAAACTACTTTGCGGAGTTTTTTTTTATCTCACTTCAAAAAGCCTGTTGTTCAGTTGCTGGAAGACCTAATTCTGCCGGACGATCAACCTGCTATTGAGGCTCGTCCACTTCCACTGTTATGCAGGTAATTTTTAGAGTAACTGATCCTTTTCAAGCGTATGTTTACCATATCGATCGCCTTTGTAAATTGAGCACTGCATCCATTCTACTGAGTAGTATAGAAGAAAATCATAGAGGGAATCATGGAACTGGGACCTTTGCAACCGTTTTGAATGCGAACTAAACCGAATCCCGTTGTAATGGGACTTAGTGCTGTTAACAATTTTTGTCTACTCTCCTGTCGCATTGCCAAAAAATTCCAAGGATGAGCAGTATACGAAAATTCTCGTTGCGTTCTTTCTTCGGAAGCAGTGGTTTTTGGGTGAGGCTGGTTGCTACACCGTTATGAAAAAAGGTTATAAGTTTAATTTGTTCACTAAAGCTAGCTTACTGTTACACCATTTGTTGCGATTGTTTAAACTATTTTTCATTTGATTTCCTGTAAAGCCAAGCACATCGCTACTATAATGCCCTAATCACCGTTATAGACTTCGTATTCACGAATAGTTCAAGCCATATTCATGGGATAGGAACGAGCTCCAGGAAGGGCTGGGCATTTTTACTCCCACTCCCTTTCCACTCAAATTTTATTTCCTTTTGCCAGAAATTGCCTGTATATTTGGGATCGCGCCTACTCCGATATGTAAGTGTCAATGGCTGGTGAAACCGTCAATGTCGGGGCATCTAACTGCCTCTACAGGCAACGTCTAAAATTTAAAAAAAATCGTTCACTTTGGTGAAATAGTGCAAAATCGATCTTAGTTCTAAAAATTGCGCTCTGAAAGAGAGAAATGCGTATGGTTACAGTTCAGGAATCTTTTCCTGATTTTCCCAGGATCGCAGCCTGTCCTAAAATTCTAGTCCATTTTCTGTGAACGGTGATGTACACTTTCGCTTGGGATAAATGGAATTCAACTAATTTTTGTCTTGTCGATTTCACTGTGCTTGCGTGAATGTAAATTTAAATTTCAGAACCAATTTCGATACAAACTTCGAAGACAGGAATGCGTACGTCACAGGAGTTTCCAAATACATCGAGGAGGCTACACGACATGCATTATTTGTATCGTTTTTTTTACGTTACTACTTTGCGTAAATATTTTGCCTAGCGCTTTACATTTCAGAATGACCTGCTGGCTGAGGGATTACAACATGCTGCAAATCTTTATACGTGGAGATGTTGCTCACGAGCTGCCCCTACAGTAAGTATAATCACTTTTCTCAACCTGCAAAGCCTTTTGAGTAAGAGTTCAAACGTGTGCTTCTAGGTGAAGTCAAATGATCAGCCGAATCGCGTAGAAATCAACATGAAAGTAGTGGAAGTCCTGAGACCTGAAGTCGATAAGCTGCAGCAGTTTATGCTGTTTACGGTATGGTTTCCTATAGGCTTTTTATGTAATATTTAGAGAAACTTTCCTATTCTAATTTTTAAATGTATAATAATGTGGGTGTGCGGCTTCAGAATGATGCCATCTCGCGTTTCTGCGAAGAAGTTAGGCGCCTTTGCCACATAGAAAAACGAAAAGTGAGTTCATTGCGTTTGTTCCACGAATTATATCTTTACACAGTGTTCACTCTGATTAAGGACTTCGTTTCTGAAGCATATCTATTGACATTGGGTAGGTTTTTGAATATGTTCGCTGTGTTGGACGAGTTAAAGAACATGAAGGCTTCAATAAAAAATGATTTCTCTGCTTTTCGAAGGTATGTTACGGCATTCCCTTTTGTTTTGTTTCTTTTTAAGGGAATAATTCAGAGCCGCCCAATTTCTTCAAGTCATGTCGGATACACAAACTATTCACGATATGCAAAACCTGAGCATGTTTCTAGCTACACAAAACAAAATAAAAGATGACATCCGGGCAAAGATGGTGAAGGTATGTTGTTCATACTAATCGCTTATTGAGGTAAGCTCATGAGTGACTTCAGATTGAGGCCTATGAAGAGCTGCTTACTGATGTTATAAACATTTGTGCTCATATGTTTGAAGCTCATCTTTACCTTGCTCCATCAGAGCGACATATGTTTGTGAAAGTAAGTAACCGAAGATGGGTTTCTCCGCCCCACTAATCTTTATTTACATTTTCAGGGTGATCCTCAGTTCGATTTGTAGTTAAAATTGTTCAGGTGATAGCGTTCTCTCTTTTCCTTATGGACGGTGATTCTGCTAATGTTGCGAAAATGGATCAGAAGAAAAGGTTGAACATCAGCCGGTTGGATAGAATTTTCAAGGTGCAATTTTGCTATGCTTAGTGCACGTACTCATATCATATGTTTGAGAGTTTCCAAACCTTCATTTCCAAATTCTTTCAACATTTCAGTCGCTTGAAGTTGTCCCTCTGTATGGAGATATGCAAATTCAACCATTTTCGTTCGTGAGAAGATCACAATTTTATGATGCTAGTAAATGGCCCCTAAGTGACAAGGAGGGTGAGCGTTTATTGACATTGATTCTTACATCTTCTCTACGCACTTATTGTTCCGAACAGGTGCTGAGGCCTTGAAGCAATTTTTTGAAAACTTTTCCATCGTATCCGTATTCCTTTCAAATTTGTTCAGTTCAGGTCAGTCGATAGTGGGTAAGTAAAAATAGAAAAACTACCAACAGTCAAGTATCATAGAGATATGTATTCAGCTTCCTTGACTCGCCGCAGTATGCGATCGGGAATCTTACAAGTTTGGCGAGTAACGGGCAACATTTCGGAATTCAAATCTGTACTACTACTGTGCTATGCTAACCGGGTACCGTGTTCTTGTCCCACACCCTACTGAAGCCCTTCTTGCCCTCGCGTTCTCAAAAGTTTTTATGTCATGGCTTATAAGCAGTTAGACGTATAACCTCGTGAGCCGTTTAGCCAGTATCAGCAGTATAACGTTAAGTTGTGGCATGAAAGCCATTGAGAAGGCGAGGGCAAGCTGGGTCTCGGTAGTGTGAGGGATAAGAGCATGGTTCCCGAATAGCACACATACGGATTTCTCCAGTCCGAGGCAATGGCTCTTTCCTACCATAATTATCGGGTGCGGTAATCGCTTTGATCGTTTGTCATTACCAATTTCTCTTCTTTGGCTACTCCTCTCATGCATCTCTCGCTTGTGGCCTTCACCTTGTTTCCCATGAAGTTGAGACAAAGGTCTTAACATTGTTTCTAATGATGCATTTATGTACACTTGATTTGATTACTAGTATTGAAGTGAAGCATTAAGTGAAAGGCTACGACTTGCTCTGACACAAATTTCAAAATACGTTTTAGTGTTTTTAGGGGAAAAATGTCATGTCAATATTGTTGAAAGAGTGAAGGTCACCAGGGCAGATCACGAGTCCTACGTCACGCAACTGGCCAAATTAAACAACAGTGTTAGTTTACCTGTTATAATTTTATACATTTTTTTTTACTCAATAGATCAATGTGATAACATGCGCATATTCATTTTACTCACTCTTTGTTGATTATTTTGCTGCTTACCATTTCTATTTTCACAGTGGTGATGCTGAACATCTTTTAGTCTTCCTTTTTCTTCCGCCGTTGAGTTGTTCCCTTACCTATTTTTTTTACTTCGCCTTCCTTAGCTCATCTATGTCTCGTTTCTGCGGAATTTTAATCCCCCTATACGCAACTTTCTCCTCCACAGTTATTACCGACGACTGACTTATTCAGGTATCAAAATAACATACTGTGTTAGTTGGAGGTGCTAATTTTCTCCCTATTTTCGATTAGACATGCAACACTCCCTGTTATGTGTAGCCCTTCTCTATTACAATTCAAGTTCCAAGGTTGATTAAGGTAAACGATCTGAGGTCTTTGGAGGTTGTTTTGACTTGATGCCTCTGTTGTTTACTGTTATTTTGCGGAATTACGCGATATGAAAGTCTTTGAGGGTTAATCAATTCGGTCTGAGGAATGCGCCCCGCATTTGATTTCTACAGAATAGTAGCGACCTATTAAATGCGCATGGGACCTATACAATGACTTATGGTGGCCAACCGTTGTACACGTGAGTGCTTTTATCCTCCCGTCGAGTCTGGTAACAGTTATCCGATCCCAGAGGGAGACTTAGCTGACCTAGGTGGGCAGCGTCTAGGATTCGAATCCGTGACTATGCGTGTGTGGCAGTGCGCCTTCTGCCGCTAAACCACCACGATTCACGAATGATAATTACCTGGACAGCATTCAAAAGCGGTCGTTTATTCCGAATTACTCAGTTTAATCCATTTCATGCTTTACTACTGCTAATCTTCCTTGGCTGTACTGAGTTCTTTGCGGTTAATTTGTGATTAAAGGTGGCTATAAGTGACCGTGTCTCACTGAATTCTGATGCTGAAAACCGCGAGTTGACGTCGTTGGCACTGAGTGGAGTACAGTTGTTGTGTCAGTGGACAGCGGACGTTGTTGAAACCATTAGTTGGAAACTGCTGCACCCAACAAATAGCAAAGATAACAAGGACTGCCCGGAAAATGCAGAGGAGTATGAAAGAGCAACGAGGTGAACTCCTATATCCATCATTTCTACAATCAATCTTACATGATGAGCTGCTCTTTCTTACAATGCAGAGGTGTTAAATGTGAATGTACGATCAAGTGCTAGAAGCACTTTTCCAATGAGAGTTTCTGAAATGGATTAGTAGCTGGATGCTGTCCTTACTAGGCTTCATTCCAGATACAATTATTCTGCAGCTGAAAAAACTGCACTGATTCAGACTATTGCTATGATAAAAGGCTTACAGTCGCTGTTAGGACGAATCGAATCATCTTTATCGAATGCTATCAGGTATCCGGGTTACCTTCCATCTTCATCTTAATTGGTAATATGTTTCTAAATGGCTAAACTCAATTCTATTGCGAATCAATGTTTCTGAATTGGAAACCAGCTGTCAAAATAAATTTCCGAGAGTAGTCTAGCAACCACTCTTCATGCAGCCGTTTCGATTTACTTACTTTCCTTAATTCAGACGTCACATATATGCAGAATTACAAGGCTTCGTGCAGCATGCCTTCAACGAGCCTATTCAGAAAGCTGTCAAGGGTAAAAAGGATTTATTGGCCAGGCATGTTAATAAACGTGTTGCATTGAAGATACTGAGATGGCGACTTCCAATTTACGCCTATGACACTTTATGAAGTCACCCAACAACAGCGTTCTTCTAGTATTCTGCAATCGGTTCGTGACACATGTATTGATGCGTACACTTCTGCTTCGGAATCTCGCCCATCAATGGAGAAGCTGAAGAAACGTCAAGGAAAAGAATCAACCAACAGCTCAAATAGCGATTTACGAGTAGCTCGGAGAGCTTCACCCCCAACTCCAAGCAGCACGCAGGTTTCTTATCTACGACTGTTCATTAACTCAATCTTTGCTTAATTGTAAGCAGCGGCTACGTTTTTTTAAAATAATTTCTCTGTTTTACTTGTTCTCCTCGCAAATTAGAAGCATTACTTCACTGATTGGTTTGCAGCTCTATATGGCCAGAACGCAGTTAGAGTCATTGATTTCGGAGCGGGCTAGCGGTGGAAAACGCGTCCTCAGAAAGGAACTCGATGCAAAAACAATAGAAAGGATTTCTGTCTTCTTACGGCATGTTACTTTAACGAAACATTCTAGGCTATGTTTGGGAAAGCGTTCCTTACCCCGTTTATTGCAATTTTGGCTTTGTTTCAGCAAATCAACCCATTGGCCTGCGCTTTTCCGACTTTCTGACTCATTAACCGAGGCAGCTGAGCTAAGCCAACTTTGGTTTAGAGAGTTCTACTTGGAAATGACAATGGGGCAACGTATCCAGGTAATTCCTAAAGTTATATGTAAATGAATGAAACAGACAAAAAAATTGTGTGTCTGTGATCGCCGCTTAGTTTTGATAGGACACATAATTGTACGTATAGTTCTGCTGATTAACGAATATGCCGTTACGACTTCGCCCTTAACTGAGTGTGTAATCTGTAAGCATAACACTTCTATTACCACCTTTTTGTGTTATGCATTGTTTATCAGTTCTTCAAATGTTGCACCCTTTTCCTCCTCTTGCTCTTTCTGTATCTTGTTCTTCTTTCTTCTTGGTCAGACCTTTTTCTCATTTCCCTATCTCTCTCGGATTCCGTTCTTAAGCTTCAAGATGCAGATCTCTACCGCTCTTTCTCATCCATCTTTCCTTGAGTATTCAGTGGTTTTGGACCCATAAACTTTTTGCTTGGCTTTCGAGTATTTGTAGAAATATAAGATCATAACACTCCTGACGCATTATATGTATGGCAGTGTTACTCTTTCATAACTGGATTTTACAGTTTCCAATAGAGATGTCGATACCGTGGATTCTGACAGATCATATTCTGACCAATCCGGATTCGTCTTTAGTGGAAGGAGCTTTATATCAGCTCGATTTATACAATGATGCCGCTAATTATAGTCTTTTCAACTTCAGAAAAAGATTTCTTTTCGACGAGGTATTTCAATCTGTACAACTTGAATTTGTTTCGTATCCTATTTCCATTGTCTCACTGCTGCCTTAAGGTGGAAGCCGAAGTTAATCTGTGTTTTGATCAATTTATATACAAGTTATCCGATATGGTATTCACCCACTTCAAGCAGCTCGCCTCGTGGTTCGTTTCTTTTCTGTGTTAAAACGTAAATACTGAATTGAAAATGATTGGTGAAATTTAAGCATGATGCTCGACAAGCGTTTCAAACTTGATTGCCAAAGGGCCGGAGTGACTATAAGGACACCTCCTGCAGGTCGATTTGACAGTATTCTAAGACAAAGGCATGTGCAGGTGAATTTTTTATTTTGATCCCGAGTGGGTATTCATAACTGTGAACATGTTTTTCTTGCAGTTGCTTGGCCGATCTATCGATTTGAATCGCTTGATTTCCCAACGGATTAGTATTGCGCTCCTGAAAGCCCTCGATACAGCCATATGGATGTTTGAAAGTGCTGAACTTTCCACCATTGTTGTACGTTTTCATTTGCCTTGTGATTCTTTCATGGTTATTTGAGCCATGTTTCAATGGATGTCTTCAGGAACTGGATTTTTTGATAGAAACCAACAAACTGTGTCATTCGCTGCTGAGAGAAAGGTTGTTCTCTGTTCCAGATTTTAACGACCTTTTACTTGAGGTGAGTCTTGTTCATTGCTTCTATTAATTTGATGGCTCCAATAGGTTTTTTCAAGCCTTTTTTTTTTGGAAACGGCAGTTCTTAACAAAACATGGTTTGTATATGTGCCAAGTGCCTGGGTCAAAAATGATGCCCTTTTCCGTTATTTTAGTCGAATTACCTATTACTTTTACTTTATTTGTTTTTCAATACATCCGCTGATTTATTGTTTTCATTTTAAGGCTAACCATAATGTCTCTGCACCTCACGGACGCATAACTTTACATGTTTTCTGGGAATTGAATTATGATTTTGTTCCGAATTTTTTCTACAATGGATCAACCCACCGCTTTGTTCGTGCAAAGGTTAGACCTTGAAGCCATTATCTTCTTTATACGCTCTAGGATGTTTTGTAGTAGAGAAAATCGATATGTTTAAGAGTCTAGATGTACGTGTGCAGATAATTGTTCCGACAATAGTTGAAGTGTGGCATTAGAAAGCCTCTTACTATACCCAAAGTTCTAGCTCCATTATTTTGTAATTTTGCACATTTAATATATCCTACTCGTCAGTGCTTTCCCTTAAAAATGGCTGCTTGTAAATAGCCAATTTTTATAGGTCATATCGAAATCTTCTTTTTTTCACAGGAGGTGTTTCGAAAGACGCCATCACGAGAAAGGAAACCCCAGGTTTCTTTTATTTATTTATGGGGTTCGAAGTCTTTGAATGCTGCATTCGCGAACATATTCTTCCCCTTCTCACGATTCATAGGAATTCCTCATTTGAAAGCGATCGCACGGCTGATGCAGTACCAAGGTATCTGCTACGATATCACCTAGCTATTTCGCAGATGTCGGAGGTTATTGGCATTTCAGGTATTGCTGTCATTTTGGAAGAATTATTAAAGATGGCTCGGATACTGATTTCTGACAAAATAAAACGCCATCTGAAAACAATCTATTCTGTTATGCCAAAAGTGTGCAAGTTGCCACGAAGCGACTATGGTAGTCCAGGTATTTCGTTTGACTTGTTTCATCATCTTACAGTCTCACACTTTAGGTATTATTATATTATTAGGGCGGAGGTGGTTTAGTGACAAGTGGCGCACTTGACACACGCACGGTCACGGGTTCGAATTCTGGATCGATAGCCGCCTAGGCCAACGAATCCTGAATAGTTACAATCCTCCGGGGTCGGTTAGTTTGTGGCAGATTCGTCTGGGAGGATAAAAGTACTGACTTGTACATCAGCTAGCTACCGCAAATCATTGCATAGGAACATGTACGCCCCTATAGTACGCCCCTGTAATTCTGAATGGAAGGCAAATGCGGGGCGCATCCTTCAGACGGGATTGAACAACGCTGAAGGGCTTTATCCTTCACTATATTATTATTACATTACGTGTTACATTATTACATTAGAGCAAGACATTGTAGGTGTTCTCCAGTACTACTTCCATCATCTTGAAGGCGTAGGGAAGTATAACGAGTTGAAAGGCGAATTTTGCCAGGTATGCACACAACATTATAATTCTTTTTTATTTCATTGTCAAAGGTAATCTGTTCGAATGAAAGCGAGATTTTGTATTTTTCCGCCATTGTTTGATTTTGGCTCTTGAGCTTGCTTCCTTTGAGGATCTTCGTGAACTGGGTAATATTATTCTCTTTTGCCACCAGTTAGAGACTGGCATGGCTCAAGAGGAGGTACAAGATCTATTGGCAGCAGCCGCTTTTACCAACGTGATCCCGAAACCGCCTGCAAAAAGTCAGTTCATCATATTTGTTTGATAAGCACCTGTCTTCCTCGCAGTCTTTGTTAACCTCTCATCTTTCCGTCACTGACTGAACTCTGCAAATATCCACCAACAGCGAGATGAAATGTATGTTTGATCTCATAGTATTGTGGTTTCAGATGTTGCTGAACAAGAAAAGCAGCTCGCCAAGCTTGAGGAAAAATACTCACGAATTCAGCTCACTAATGTAGTAGAGAAATTTGGCGATGATAAGGTATGTTCTGCATACTGAGGAAGGATCGGGCCTCTCAGTTTGCTTATTCAAACGTGTTTTGGCCGGAACTTTGAAGAACCAAATGAAATCGATGCAGCTTCTGCTTTGTTCTTTCCGATTCTAATCCGCATACACTCACTCAATAATGAACACGTTGACAACAGTGTCGCGCAATGCTGCGCGACGGTGCCGATTAAAGTGTGTGTGCTCGTTCCGTTTTTTGTGCAGATTTTCAATTTAGGCTTATAAGTGTCCAAAATAGCACCGGCCACCTATAAAATTGATTCTAAGTTGAATAATACAAATACAAGACGGGAACAGCCGCAGGAGCCATATCGTCGCCGTCTAAACCACCTGCAGCATCATCGTCGCTGTCGAGCAGCCAGTGTTCGAAAATTTCATTGAGTCTTCCATTTCAATATCCGAGACACTCATGATGGCAAAATTAGTCGCAAGGATAATAATATTTCAGAGATTCTATTTATATACCCCCCCCCCCCTCAAATTTATCATCGCCAATTTTGAAATTACCCCGANTTTTTATATCCCCCCCCCCCCCCCTCAAATTTATCATCGCCAATTTTGAAATTACCCCGAGTAGCCGCAAATCTTGGGCAAAATTTGAATACTGCTAGAAGGTTTGCGGATTTCAAATGTTTTTGAATGTAATCACTCATTTTTTCGAGAAATAACTAATTTCCTAGAAAGAAACTGTGTCGTCTCACGGGACAGACACGAAAAAATTGGCTCGTCGTCAACGTGTTAAGATGAACGCTCGTTGACTTTTGATTTATTGGGTCAAAGTGAAATGCTTGCATTCCGGTTCTTTGTAATGAGGGGTGAAGCATCCAACATACTCCCTTATCTTCCGTATCCGGTCAACCATTTTGAAAGATTATGGAGTGAAGAGAAGGGTACTAAAGCAGAAGGGAAGGTGGAAAAAACGCAGCTTCAGGTTAAGCCGAACTCAATGAGAAGGGCGGCTTCAATGCAGGGTTACCAGTTGGTGCCATCTGAACTCAACGCGTTATGATCTATTTGCACTCTTGTCGAAACTATTAGTAGTAACTATTGTGATTCTGAGCTAAAAAGAGAACTCTTGATTTCGAATGACACTCTAACCCATACCTTTCCTTCTCGCCCTGTGTTAACATTTACATCGCAAAATGCGGCGGGCAGCGGTTAGGAAAATAAAGTAGTTAGATTAGGGGCGCACAAACTACCTGTCTTCTTTAAAACACAAACTACCTAAAGTGTTTTGCGTGTTGCATCATTAATCATGTTGTGTGAGTTTTCAGCAAATCGCTATATCGAGGGAGGCTGAACTTATGACCAAGGAGCGACTTTGTTGTGGATTGAACATCTTCGAAATGTTTTTAAGAAGGATTCGACAGATGCTTCTAGACGACTCGGTATGTTTTCAGTAGAATGTCTTGTCGCTAATATGAAACCCTTCTGGAGTTGGATGCGCGCTATGTTAGTCGACAGTAGAATAGGCATCTGAGGGAGCGAGACGGACCGCAGACGTGTATTTTCTTCATCTTTCTGTTCGACTTCAGAGCGCACGCATAGGTTCTGTGGTAGTAAATTGAAATTAACCCCACCTAAATCTTTCAGCTCTTTCACGGAGTCACCAAACATTTATTGAATGAAGGCTACGTAGTCATAAGAACCCCACTGTTTTCCGTCATGACTATTATATATGGTAAACTGGTAAGAAAACCCAGTTTACCATATAGTTACATTTTTTTTGCTTCCTTTTATCTTTGAGTTTATGATGGGATTCACGCAACTATTATATCTTATCACCATCGTTAATCATACCATCGGGTTTCACCTAATGAGCAGGTCAAGATTCCTTTCTCTCGGAGATGATAATTTTGGGATTCAAAGAAACCACTGCCCCCGGGATATCTTCAACTTTCAGGCGTTTTTCCCTATCGAGGAGCCAGTTGGTTCACCCGGCTAACGCCAGGCTTCCCTCATTCTTCGACTAAGTTGCAGCAATCGGCTAACTCTCTACTCTTTCTTTGAAACAAATAATATTTCCCTGTACACGAAGTTTGACAAAGGACTAGCAGGGCATTGCATATGGTACTCAGTGTAGGTCAGTGCTTATGCCTTTAATTGGAAGTCTCGATCTTTTGCTCTCGTTCCTAAAAGTAAATACCCATTAAAGACTAGACTTTTAGACAACCAAAGCCTTGGGCGGTACTGACAAATGTTTTGAGTGATGGTAACACCACTATCAGATGTCACTGTTGATGGACCCTTTTCTTTACGGATGTAACGTTTTTTTTTGAGAATTCCAGATTATTGGTGGTCGGTCGACTAAAGAGGATCCTTCATTGAAATACAAACCTTGGGTAGCGGTCATAATCTAATAGTAAGAAATGAACGAAATTCTAATCTGTTAATCGTAGTGCCCATATCCCTATCATGCGCTTACCGATCACTTTTGTCACCCTGTCCTGCCATCCAGTATAATCGACTGAAACATAGTGAACAGGCAAAGCTACATCGTAAATGTAAATGTCGAAGGCGTTGAGCTTTTCTGCTCTTGCTCTTTTAGGGCTCTTGCCTATTTAAACCTCTTACTCTTATCAGTTGTTATCAGCTCCTGTCACCGAATAGCTATGATCTACGTCACATCTCACATCGCTTATCAGAACGCCGAGGTTCCACTCTTGATACAAAGGCTTTATAAACCAAATCTGGCTCGTTTTCAGTCTATCTGTTGTTATCACTACTTGTCACCTACGGTCCCTACACATCCCACACCACGCTTTAAAAAGCCAAACCCCCAGCGTTGAAACGAAGGCCGTCATAGACCTGGTGGCTCTCGCCTCCTGTGGCTCGTCATCAGTCCTTATCAGATGTTATCAGTCATTGCCACCAATCATCTACGGTCCTTTTTGACCCCACACCACATACTAAAGTGCCAAGATTCTACCGTTAAACGAAGGAGGTAACGGATCCTGAGGCTCTCAACTTCTAGGCTTCCTATCATCATCATCTATCAGTTGTTAACTTCCTATCACATGCCATCAGTGTTCCGATCCTGCAGCTTGGATCCCTCCTAAATTTGAACGTTGCCGGTCCAGGAAGGCAGGACTTATTAATTTTCGGTTGTAAATTTCTGTCGCGTACGCCCCAATGCCTGTCGGCGGAGTCTGGTCCTGCTACCTGCCATCAGTTCCATCCTGCCGCCTCCACCTCTACTCCTCCTACCAGATTTAAACGCTCTAGGTCCAAAACAGTAGTTATGAATTTCTGTCAAACACACACTTTGCCACACACAAACACAAACAACGACAAACCAACAGACACACCCTGCGAGTATATAGTAAGACAGTGTAGGATACTCTAATTGGTAAGTGACGTAGTAGAAGGTACTCGGAAAGCACAGGGGAAGCAATGTCAAGAGGACAAGAACCCAAATCCAAAAACCACGCAGCGGTGAACCGAACAGAAACGAATTCAGCCAACTTCTGCGTCTTCAGATCTTCCCTAACCATTTTCTAGTGGACAGAGGAGAAAAGAAACTACGTTTTATGACTACGACATTAGAGATATATTGAGTCAGCGCTTTTCTGTAGCACAGGGAGCGATTGAGGACTGTTGGACGCGTACACATTAGCTCTGTCGCAAGTTTTTGAGTACTATCCTCTGGATTCTCTTCTATAGCATCGAGAATGACATAGTCTTCTACTGGACATCACAACCTGAACATGTCTTCAACATCCACGTGCCCTCCTTCAAAGCGAACGATCGAGTGTTCTGTAGGCTGATGGAACTGATGCCACTCTCAAAGCACTGTTGATGTAACGAACGTTTGCTTTCGCTCCAGTGCCTGCGAGTCTGTTACCTATTAGCCGACCGATTCTTCACTGCTTCGTTTTTCCTCTGTTCTTTCCCATTGTGAAGACATGTTTTCAAGCGCAAGCATTAGAATACTGTCTTGATTCGCTGTTAGTTATTCCTATTTTTACAAGGTGCTTTAGGTTTTCACTGGAGGATATCCAACCAATGGGGTTATATGGGTGGACGAGTGCGTGGAATTTCATCGAGTATGGTCTGCACTGCAGTTCTTCATTTGTCAACCACGAGGCAACGAAGATGAAAGACTTGTAGAGTGAGTAGCCTGTTGAAGTTTGTTTACGGTGTTGAATAGTTTGTTTCCTTATTTAAGAGAGCTTTTCGGCGATTCTTTGCAATGGGCTGGCATGTCTGTCATTTCTCTCCTTGGACAACACAGGCGTTTTGAAGTCCTCGATTTCTGTTATCACCTCCACCGAATTCAGAAATTCGATGGGAAAGATGAGACTGTCAATGGAGTTGTAAGCTATTGTTGTAGTCCGTTTTGTTCTCCATCGTTGTCTTACTTTACCCCTCAATTTTATTCGCTTCTTATTTCAGCGTCTTAGCCGTATGGTGGAAAGAATACGACGATTTCAGCTATTGAATTCGCAGATCCTCACAATACTTTGCAATTACTTAACAGCAAATGAGGAGTTCGAAGAAGAGCACGTGCGGGAGTTTATGCCACCCACACATCCTTCTCTTACGGGACAGTTTTCGGTAGAGTCGTAGTGGATGGCCGATCTCCTTTAGCCTGTTGATCTCCTTTGGAACACGTTATTAGGAATGATCGTAAATTAGGAAGAAGGACTGAATACGAAACATTCCGCCACTGCTTACGAAATCATATGATTTTGACCGTTTCTTAAGGGTTTGTATAAACTGCTTTTTCTGAAATTGACCTTAATAAACTATTGATGAATCTATTGTTCTTGTGAAAAGCAGTTCAAAAATGATTCCCTGAAATAGTAAGAGAAGACGGAACAGAAAGAAGCTAAAACTGCACGTATTTAAAGAAGTAAAAGATCGAGCAAGAAAGAATACAAACAAACAAGTAATTGCCGACAACGAAAACAGAGAACCACAAGATGGTTAGGCTGCAAACAGCGAACTGTGAGCAAGCTTGGAGATGAAAAGTCATAATATAAGAAGAATTCAGGTGGAGCCGGAGGTAAGCATAGAGGAGCGATAAGCATAATCAACATATTATAATAGATATAACTGTATGAATAAAGAACTTTTAGTGAGGAACAACCTTTGAAAAAAATGAAGGCAGGAATAGTCGAGTGTAAAACAGGTAGACTCACGTCTGCACTTAGAGAGAGCGCGAGTTCGATACCTGCCTAAGTAATTTCATGCCTTACAAAAATGGTGTTGTTACCAACTTTAGGGCCAGGTTGACAGGCCGGCTGATGGAGAAAACTAGTCACAACAGTCATGTTCGAAGTCTCCAAAAGTATCAGTGAAAAAGCTAGGACGTCACCCGGAAGTGGCGCGCAGGACCTCTGCTCGAGTCCTGTGGATAGTATGTGAGGTAGCGAGGAGTGTGCGACCTCGCCCATAGAAGTTAGCTCGAAATGGGGCTTTGGACATAGGATCGCTCACTGGGAAGTCCCGAGAGGTCGCCGATCTCATGAAGTGCAGGAACATTGAAGTCCTATGCCTTCAGGAGATCCGCTGGAAAGGTGCAGAGGCCAGGAAGCTTGGAGAGGGTGTCAAACTTTTCTACAACGGACTAAACAAACTGGTGTGGACATAGCAGTGGAGTCTCTCAAAGACTATGTCTCCGCCGTCAAAAGGATCAGCAGTCGAATTGTGGCTGTGAGTATGGACACGATGAAGGGGTAGTGGTCAATAGTAACCATATACGCACCACAAGCCGGCTCACTCATCCTCGAAAAGGATGAATTCTATCTGAGCCTTAACGAGGCCATCTGATCAGCTCCGGAGGAGGGAACTTCGTGAAGGAGAAAGGGCCCTCGACGTGGCCCTAGCTCACGAATTGCAGTATGCAGCACCGTCCCCGCGGAAAGGATAACTCAGAAGATAACCTGTAGCAGCGCAGGGAAAGGAGCAGGGCTAGACCACGTACTCGTAAGAAGAACATCCCTCAAAACGGTGAAGGACATAAAAGTGCTGCGTGGAGAAGTCTTGGCTCCACAACGCAGACCTCTCCTAAAATACATAGCCATCGATCTTCCCAAGAATCAAGACAAAAACGGAACGGAGTATTTGGTGGGGGAAGCTGCATCGAGTCGAAAGAGAACACCTCAAGGAGAAATTGCAGGAAGCTGGACTCCCACATCCCGAAATTCCGATCCAGCAGACTTGGAGCAACGCCGTGAAAGTTATCCTGCGATGTGCAAGGGAAACACGAGGAAACTCGAGGTTTTACGAGTGAATAAGGAGACATGAAGTCTAGCGAGTTGTCAGGCAGAAGAAGTCGGCTACAAGCGCTGGCGAAGGACACGAGCTCAAGAAGACCTAGCTACTCACAGAAGTTCCAAAAGACTGCTGTGGCGAAGGCAAAAGAACGCGGAAATGGCGCCTCGTATGAGAACTCGATGGTCGAAAAGTTTGTCTTCTGGCTGGTGAAGGTGCGTTACCGGGCTTCTCTGGACCTTGGGGTAGTGAAGCCCGTTAGAAGCAGCGAGGGTGCAATTTTGAAGAAGCTTGGTGAAGTCAGGCGTAGGTAGAAGGAATACTTCGACAGGCTCCTAAACAAAGAATTCGCCGTGAAAATAATTCACAATTAAAGGCAACGGCTAGCCCCATCAATCTCTGGACAGAGGATGAGCTGCGTATAGCAATAGGAAAGATGAAGGTTTGGAAAGTAAGGTCCGGATGGGGTACCGATCGAGGCATGGAAGACGATCGAAGAGCATAGGGTAAAGTGGTTCTGTGGTCACAACCCGATTTATGGACACTGTGGCCATAAAAGGAAGAATCCCAGATGCGTGGGAGAGCAGAGCTATCGTTCCCACCTTCAAGCAAAAGGGGACGCGGAGCATTGCAACTACCAGGGGATCAGGTTGACCGCTCACACGATGAAACTGTACGAGTGGGTGATGGACTCAATGTTGAGGGAATTGGCCCCGATCTCACAGGAGCAGCTCGGCTTCATGCCTGAAAGGTCTACAACGGATGCCATCTTTATAGCAAGATAAGTTATGGAGAAGTATAGAGAAAACCAGTCGGGCCGCCCGGCTAACGCGGGGCTTCCCTCCTTCTTATGGTGTCGCCCGGCTTCGCTGGGCGCTCCTCCTTCCTGTAAGAAATTTGCTATGCGTACATAACTCTTCGGATTCTCTTTTTTCTTTGAAAGCCCTACACCCTCCGTATTAGCTCCGAATTTGGAGCATTTTTTTCTGTATTATGATTAAAGTCGGTTCTCCCGGCTAACGCCGGGCTTCCCTTCTTCTTTGACAAAGTTGTAGTAATCGGCCAACTCTCCACCCCTTCTTCGAAACAAATAATATTTTCCTGTACACGGAGTTTGACACACGACCAACAGGGTATTGGTATTCAGTGAGAATCGGTGCTTATGTCATCAATTGGAAGTCTCGATCTCTTGCTCTCGTTTTTGGAGATAAATACCCAATAAAGAAGAGTGAAATATTAGGTAATCAAAGCCTTGGGCGGTAATTACAAAAATTTCATGTGGCGATAATACCACTATCAGATGTTATCAATGAACCTTTTACTTCATAGAGATGACATTAGTTAGGAGTTCCAAATAATTGGCGGTCGGTTAGATTTTTCGCAAATGATATCGAACAAAGAGGATCCTGCATTGAGTCAAAAGCCTTGATGGATAGCGGACGTAATCTAATAGCAAGAAATGATCAAAATTCTCATCGCTTATCGTAGTGCATCCAATGAGTCCCTATAACTGCGCTTACCACTTCTTTTGTCACACTGCTCTACCATCTCATCTTATCGAAACATACTGAACAGCCAAAGCTTCATCGTGAATACCAAAGCGTTAGGGTTTCGATCGGCAGGTGGCACTTGCCCTTTTAGGCCCCTCATCTTCTTTTATCGGTTATAATCGGTACTTGTCACCGAGTACCTAGGATTCCGTCATGTCCCCATCACTTATTAAAAAGCCAGGGTTCCACTGTTAATACGAAAAGCTGTAATCTTACCATATTTGAACTCTCTAGGTCTACAAAAACAGAAGTTACGAATTTCTACTAAAATGATTACTCTGCACAAACCCCGCCCCCATGTAGGCTGATTTTGGACCTGTCACCTGCCATGTGTGTTCCCATCCTTGTCCTCGTATTCCTACCGAATTGAAACGCTCTAGGTCCACGGGGACAGGAGTTATGAATTTGCAACATAAAATTTCTATCGCGCACGCACCGCCCCTGCAGGCGGAGTGCGATCATGCCACCTGCCATAAGTGTTCGCATGCTGCCCCCTGCACTTCTACCAAATTCGAACGCTCTAGGTCCACGAGGCAGGAGTTATGAATTTAGGGTCCAGAATTTCTATCGCGCACGCCACGCCCCTGTGGGCGGAGTCCGGTCCTGCCACCCACCGTAAGTGTTCCCATCCTGTCCCCTGACTCCTGCCAAATTTGAGCTTTCTAGGTCTACGGGAACAGGAGTTATGAATTTCCGGTCAAACACACACACCGACACACACACAAACACACCGACACACCAACGGACACACTTAGCGAATTATATAAAGTAGGATGTAGACTCTGCTACCTAGCCTTCTTCGATCTGGAGAAGGCGTTCGTCTCCCGCGACAAGTCCTCTGGAGAGCGCTCCGAAAATGAAACGTTGTAGAACATATTAGCTCTTTGGTCAAGGGATGTACGATGGTTCCACGACAAAAATACGCACTCGACACGGCCAAACCAGAGCAATAGATGTCTCCGTTGGAGTCCACCAGGGATCACCTCTGAGCCCGTTTATCTTGTTGCTTACAATGGACCTCGTCGCAAAAGAACTTGTGGATGGACTGCTGAAGACCATCCTCTAAGCTGATAACATCGCCCTGATAACAGAGAGCAAGGAAGAACTCCAGGACAATTTCCAGAAATGGCAGAAATTACTGGCGGAGAACGGGCTGAACGTGAAGAAAACCAAGTTCTTCAGCTCCAAGGAGTGCACTGAGTCAATCGTCGACGGTCACGGGGAAGCCATCGAAAAAGTTTAGGACTTCCGATACCTGGGGAGTAATCTAGCTACTGATGGTAACGTGGCCCAGGCTGTAAAAGCCTGAATAGACGCGAAATGTATAAAGTAGAGGTAGTCCACCAGTATCCTCTGCGACCGTCGGTGCTCTAGGACGCTCAAAGGAAAGATGTGCCGGACAGTGGTGACGATGCTCTACGACAGCGAATGTTGGCCCGTGTGTAGAAACCATGAAAAACAGCTCCACTGTGCTGAATTGAAAATGCTCAGATGAGCCTACGGTTGGACGCGGCTGGATCGGATCAGAAACGAAGACGTTCGAATGGCTACAAGAGCCCAAGTTCAGCTGAAGATGAGAGAGCTGCGCTAGCGATGCTTCGGGCATGTACTGAGAAGACAACAGAGTCATCGGACAAGGGAGGAAATGGATTCGAAGCTGAGGGTAAGCAACCACGAGGAGCCCAAAAAAACGGGTTTCGCCGAAGCTGAAGTAACGGCTGAAGATACCGTAGATAGAAAGAGTTGGAGACGGCTGACAAGTGCAGCGGATCCTGCGACGGTGCGGGATTACGTTAGGAAGAAGAAGACCAAGAAATCCCCCCTAGCACGAAGGAGACCATAAACTATAATTACAGTGAGATTGAAGAAGGATTGAACGAGAACTCTGTAGGCTCGAGGACAACACATAACATTAGCAATTGAAAAGCAATACGATGGATAAGCTTTTGCTGTCTAACAGCAGGAAGAAGTATGTCGATAACAACCGAGATGTTGACTGTTGACATACTTCGAATGCTGAGCGGTGGATCAGCCTGAAAAAGCGATGTGAGCGCATGATCTGAATCTGATCAGATCTCCTTTTTCGTTATTTGGATTCGAAGGGTTTAAGAACTATCACGTGGAGGAAAATTCGCCCTCTCCACTCCTATAGAGGGGATTTCCAGTACTGAAAGCTTTGTACATTTTGGTACTACTTGTGAGACGGCAACGGCTGTTCCTTGGCGTAGACGTATTTTACGCTGCCGTCATTTCTTTAAAGGCACAGTTCACGATGATTTTTGGGTACCCGGTTTTAGGTGGATAATTAAAAATACAGTCTGGAATAATGCAAAAATAAGGTGCAAAGCGCAAAAAATGGCATACAATTTGGAAGAGTTTAGGCAAAAATGGCGCTGAAGGAGTGTTTTGGCGACGCTCTGCTCTGCGACATCAGACGGTAGAACGCATAGAGACCGCGCTAGAGCGCACAGATGGCTCGGATGCCCAGTTTTTTGCACGTCTCACATACCAATCTCCTCCCCTAGCGTGGTCTATACGCACTCTACCGTCTGGTATCAGAGATGCAGAACACAAAAGGGCGCTGGCGCCCCTTCGTCGGGTATGGGAGGTACGTGCGGATGCGCGCGGCGAAATTCGTGATTATTCGAAAGACTCTGGCGCCTATTAATTGGGACACAAATCTGGAGCAGAGTAGTTTAGTAGGGTCAGCCGATCCTACTAATCTACTCCGCTCCAAATTCGGGCCCTCCCAATGATAGACGCTAAAGTCGTTCGAAACGATACGAACTGGGTACTATTGAGGAGAGAACTCAGACACCATTCTTATCGCCTTCTGCTTTTGAGTTGTCAAAAAGAAGTGGACGCTATGTGTAAACAGCAATCTACGTCTTACATGGATTAATTGCGAAGCGATCCGTTATGAAGATGAAACGGCAAAAACCAAATGCATAGTGTTCACCCTCGTGGTGGAACTAAGAAATGTGGGTTTGTATAAATTCAACATGCCAAAGCAACATTCACTTACAAGCGTTTAGAAATTTCTCCGGAGAAAATATAGTTGCGCGCGCTCCCCCCTTCGCGCGCGGCGCACCCGACTGAGGTCTCAAGATAACATTACAGTACCACCAAGTGTCAGTAGAGCGAACGATTTGCATTTGCCCCGTGTTATCTTCTCTTTAGGCTGACTGTCGTGGACCAAGCCCAACTGACAATTGCGACGTCCGTCAAGTATCGCAGGTTGACCCGCCGCATGCGACGGCTACGGCGTGACCTAGTTTCGACGGACGCAAGCAACGAACGCACCCCTGACTTCATGCAAAAAGTTCGAATGGGAACTGGTCAGTGGGACACTGTATCAATGAAGAGGGTAGAGTTACTGTATAACACGGCCACGCGACATTGAAATCCCTCCTACTAACCTTCACCAATGTGCAAAGTAGCCATCTGCTTTATTCTCATTACTGTTTTCGAACAGTCCCTGTAATGTCGCATTTTCCAGTTTTTATTCCTATCGTGTGAGCTCGTAAATTCTTGAGTCTTTTGAACTCGTTAACATGTTCTCCCGATAAGTTTAACTTCGAATAAAGACGAGGAGTTCCTCGCCATCTGTGTCAGGATCGTTCTGGGATGGTTTTGGTGAAATGTTGTTGAAAGGGGGGGGGGGGGGGGGGGGGGGTGCATTAAGGAGCGCAGGCGAGGGATGGCCAGCTGACTTTGCAGGCTCACAATGGAGCTTGGAAAAGTTTCGAGGTCGAAGGAATATAGTTTTTCACCCAAGCCTTAGAAGTGGAGAGCATCGGATGAGGGAGTACTCTCTCAGCAGGAATAGTGTACTATGTAGCACGGTACGGATTACACTTTGCATAGAAATGAATCAATGGTCAACTGAAATGAATGAATTTATCTCACGATACAATCGCCTCACTCACCCTGCTGCTCCTGCACTCCTGATGCTTGGGTACGTAACCATTTTTCCATGGTCACAAACGTTTCTTAGCACCATTACGGGCCCGAAAAACCAGCTAGCCTTCCTACTCTGCGCTCTAGCGCTTAGTTTTAGAGACAGGAGGTGGCCCCTAACGAACTACATTTCCACCGAAGGTTCATTCCAAATTTAGTCGTCCCTTATTACTTTGTCGTGCTGAGAGGTATCCCTATCTCAATAAAATGATTGAAAACCCATGCCATGGTTAGACGAAACTGTGGATTACGTTCCACAAGTAAGTAACCGGCTTCTCCCGAAAAGCTAGGTGCAAAACTGCTGTAACTGCACAACTACGCAAATGCACAACGTGCGCACCAGTGACGGTGTCTTTGCACAGTCTAGAGACTGGGCTACTTGAAAGAATCTTTTTTTTCGCGTTGGATGCGTTCTTTTTGTTTTCTTTTGTTTTCGTTCTGTGCGGTAGATTTGTGATCAGCGTTTCCATTCTTTACCTGGTTCAATACAGATCATATCAGGGAGATTTGTAGCTTTACATTTGTATGCTTCCCGCCACTACTGTCTCCATAATTGATATTCATAGTGGTCGAACGCCTATTACTACTACAGCTCGAACCCGATTCGAATCTTCGCCAACACAGGCTGAATCATTGTTTCGACCAGCAACTGTTAGCATGCCAAAACCTTTCTTTATCGATATGCGAGGTCATTTTGTGTCCTTGGTTAGCTGCTTCTTAAGTCAGTCGTTTATTGAGTCAGAGTTCCTTGTTTCCTAGACGTAATATACTATGTTCAGTAAAGATTTGAAAATGGTGATCTGTGCGGTATGTGAAAAGGTATTGCGTGCGATAACTGCTAGAAGGATGTCTGCGGAGTTGAACCAAAATGTAACCTTACTAATGTCACTTACATTAGCTGGTCACATTGAGGTTGAACGTGCCCGTAGCCTGTTTGAGACTGCTACAAAACGGAACGCTTACGTTTGCCATCGGCATGTGGTTCACGCGGTAAGCGGCAAAAAGTGTGCACATATGTTTATAGTAGTTTGCAGTCTTTCT